TATATATATATGGAACTCACAGAGATCCACCTGCCCCTGCCTCTTGAGTGCTGGGATTAAAGGCATGCTCACAGCTTTTTTTTCTTTTTTTTGGAGACAGTCTTAGTACATAGTTCAGGCTGTTCTCAAATTTATAATCCTCTTGCCTCAGCCTCCAAATGCCAATATTACACACCAGGCTCTTAAAGCTCCCTTTTCATTCACAAGGGTGAATGAAATATTTGCTTAGCTGTGCACCAGGAATCCAGGCTCCTGAAGGAAGAGACCACTTCCTGACCACATTAAGGCCACATGGGTGGGGCCACTGCAGGCCGGAGGCTTTAAGTGATCCAGACAAGGACTAGTCAATGGGTAGAGGATGTGAGTTAGTAATCCCAGAATTAGGAAGACAGATACCTGCAGTTCACTGCTCAGCCAGCATAGCCTATTTGGCTAGTTCTAGGCCAGTGAGAGATCCTGTCTCAAAAGAAAAAGGTGGCCAGCACGCAAGAAATAACACTGAGGATGTCTGCTGTCACAGGCACACATGCATGCACATGTCCTTATAGGACAGGTACTCTGAGTGATTATGTCACAATAAACTGTTTTTTTTTTTTTTTGGAGCTGAGGATCAAACCCAGGGCCTTGTGCTTGCTAGGCAAGCGCTCTACCACTGAGCTAAATCCCCAACCCCAAAAAACTGCTTCTTACATCTAACCTATGCACTAGTTTAAAGCACCCACGGGACAGTGTAAGCCAACTACTGCTCCAATATTGGCAAGAAACTGACAAGCGCTCAAATAAAACCAGCTGTGATGGCTTCGCATGCAAACCCCAGGGCTTTGTGACTTATGGTGGATGAAAGGAGGGTCCAGGGTAATTTTTGCTTTTTCATTTTACACTTTTATGTGTGTGCACTCGTGTGTTTGTGGGCTCACCTCTGCCACACCAGACAGGTGAAGAGCAGCGGAGAACTTGTGGGAGTTGGCTCCCTCCCTCCACACCTGGACCCCAGGAACCAGCCTCGGGTGGTTAGACTCTGCAGGAACCTTTACCCACTCAGCCGTCTCAGCATCTCACCAGCATTTTTGTTTTGTTTTGGCCAAAGTCTCACTATGTGGTCCAGGCTGACCTCAAACTTGGATTCCCTCTGCCTCTACCACTTGTACGCTGGGATACAGATGTGCACCATCGCTCCCAACTCTGGAGGCTAAATTGGCTCTGCTTTTTCCTCAAAGGACCGACACTCTAGACTTTAGAATCTAGTGCTCCTACAAGTTCCGGACTGGGCAGACTCAACAGGGAAGGCCTGGGGTTGTTATTGCTGGTTTTTTGGCTTTTTTTTTTTTTTTTTTTTTTTTTTTTTTTTTTTTGAGACAGGTTTTCTCTGTGTAGCCCTGGCTGTCCTGGAACTTGCTGTATAGCCCAGGCTGGCCTTGAACTCACAAAGATACACCTACCTCTGACTCCTCCCAAGTGCTGGGATCAAAGGCATGCACCACCACTGACGGGTTAAAAAGGCCTGTTTTAACAAACAGATAAGAGCGGCTGTTACCTTGCACTCTGCTTTTCTCTGTTTTTAAAATAATAGAGTGTTGTAACATCTGTGGTAGATCAAAGCAGGCCATTTCCTTGGCTATTTGGGACACCTACTGAAATCACACATTAAATATGAACTCTTTTTAAAGAAAAAGCTCATTGAGCCCCAGCCTAGCCCTGGGGGGGGGGGGAATGCCCAGAACTAATGAGTGTTTACACTCTTGGCCTCTCATTCTCAAACATCTTAGACAAATCCTGAGGGGCTGCAGCTGAAAGCCACTTGCTACAGATGACCAGAAAAATCCAGCTTCAAGCAGAAAATGCCAGAGACTGCAGGCTGAGGACAGAGTTTATAAAACGTCACATCAAGAAACAACCATGGAATTCTGCACAAGGATGCTTCAGTCCCACGTGCATGTGGCCATGGGGGTGCAGAGGAACTCCTGTTTGGAGGAAAGTCGCCCAGCTCCTAAGCCATGGTCTTACTGTAAAAGCTTTGAGGTACATCTGCTTCCACATCCACCAATGCAGGACTCAGAGGTAGTAATCGTGTGTGTACAAAAACCAAACCTATTTTGTAAAGTCTACAGTAGGAAGCACACTTAAAAAATGGAATTTGGCTGGATGCTAAGAAATTAGATACACAGTGGGAGGACATTAAATAAAAAAAACTTATGCAATAATCTCTCTGTGGTGTGAAGGAAGCCTGAGTACTGAACAATCTCACATCTGCTGGAAAAAAAAATGCCACACACACTTCTCAAAACTTAAAGGAAGACCCACCATGGAAAGTTAATAGAAAGCTCTCCATCTCCATTGGGATTTCCAACGCTAAGGCCTGGAGACCAAGACGAGTCCAGACTTCAAACTGATACTGTCTGTTCATTCAGACAGAAAGACACTTTCGTATATCTCATGACAAGAAAGAAAGAAAGAAAGAAAGAGAGAGAGAGAGAGAGAGAGAGAGAGAGAGAGAGAGAGAGAGA